CCCTACCTTATAACCTGCACTTATAACTATGAACCTCCTAATAGACTTTAGACTGTATGGTTGCTATAGTAGGAATTTCTATCATGATTCGGGAAAGTATCCCCCGTATATTATAGGGGCCTTAAATAATAGAATAGGGTCGGGGGGGCACCATACTGTAATTATAATTACCAAGGAGCCCCCCCACGAAAGAAAGGTAATGATGGAGGCCCTAGATTACCCTTAGTTTAAACAAACCCAAGAAACCCTAAACCCTAGAAGCCCTAAAACCTACAAACCCTATGAGGGGATCCACCTTGGGCCTTTATGGGCCTTTATTAGGTCTCCTTATATGAATCCTACTACTTTCGGGTTCTAGGCCCAGGGTTTCTTAATCAGGTTCCTACATTAATGATTGAGGCCCCTTTTTAGGTACTTAGGACCCCTTGGACTTCGTTTCAAGGGCTCAGGAGCTGAAACAAAAGCGAGCAGACATCGACTCCCCTGAGCTTCTCTCACTGGACAAAAAGACGGTCGTAGGGTGAATTAGGGGGAGGAACGGGTGGGGGGGGGGGGGGCATGGATGCCCCATACTAAGGACCTAAGAAGGCCTAGTTGACAAAAAGACTCCTTCGTGCTTAGTATGGGGACTACTATAACGGAACCCTTAAGGGACTATCATTGGGATCCATTCCCACATGTCCTACTAAGCACCAGGGAGAAGACATGATAAGGTTTAGTTTAGGGCCTACGGCAGGGTTTAGGGTTTCTGGATGCTTCTGGCTAGGGTTTCACGTTTAGGGTTTAGCGTACCAGACAGACAGACATGCAGACAGACATACACTACATGCGTACATGAATCAGACACCGTACGTAGAACGGCGCAGTTCGTCGTAGCATCGATAACATCCCAGGGATACCGGTGAACAGCAACTTAACGTAACAGCAAAGGACCAGTGAGGGCAAGAACACGAGAACAAAGCTACACACTAACACTGGACTATCATTGAGAACAGACGCAGTTGATAAAGACGACGGTGACAGCACGAATCCCGACGAGTGCAATGACTCGATGACAACACTAGTAGTACTAAAACTACCAACAGCACAAGCAGCATGCTAGCCGCTCATGCATGTGCCACAAGTCCTTATGCCCTAAGCGCTATAAATGTCATAACCATTACATTCAAAGCAGTCGGAATGCATGCTGCCTGAAAGTGGGTGCCTCCAAGTTGTACTGGTGCTCGCTCGATGCCTTTTTTCTGGGTGCCACCACCGAGCAAGTGAATCCACCATCTTCAATTTTTGCTGCATTCTTTGCAGTATCTCCGGCCGGGCAGATCACACCTTGGATAACGGGGGCCTTGTGTTGGTTATTGTGTGTTCGGCAACGAGCGAGCACGCTGCTTGCTCAGGTCGGCCCTGAGAGCTGCTTGAGTCTTGCTTTCTGTATCCATTGGCTTGCAGCCATGATTGAGCGAAGGAGTCACCTCAGATCCCGGTTTCCGCGCAGCGCGCGTCCTAGGGCGACGCGCACCGCGCAGCGCGACACCTCGCGAAAATAAAAATCGAGCGAGCACGCATTCTTTTAACAATTGGGTTTTCGAGCGAGCACGCAATATTCATCGAGAGGGGTGGAGTTATTGGCCTTTGCTGGGAGTTAGTAGAACATCGTGCTGGCTCAGGTTTTGTTCTCCGCGTGCGTTTCTCGCCGCGATTTTTTTCATCTGAGGGAGCATTGTCGAATGAGCGAGCACGTTGCTATGCGGGTGAGCACGTAGGGCCTGAGCGAGCACGTTCGCATCCGAGCGGGCATGTTCGTGCACCAGCATCACGGTTATTGTAGGACAAGTCTATAGTTCTGTAAAGGACAACGACTTTGCCTTCTACTCTCTCTTTGCAGCAGCCGACCCCAAGCCTCGTGCCGACCCCGACCCTGGGCCGTGAGCCAACCCCAATCCTTTCGTGGATAGTGGATTCGCGGGGCCAAGAAAAGAAGCATCGAGCGAGCACCACGACAAGTTGGAGGCACCCACTTTCAGGCAGCATGCATTCCGAGACCCTTGATACATGCCCTTTGCACCCATGAGCCACATTTGTAACTCAACTAGCCCTAAACAATAGACCCCACACGCGTTTTGAGGGTGCATGTACTGCACACTTCCTGTAGAGGTTCCAATAAGGGCTCCGATATGGGCCACAACCCCCTTTAAGCCCTGAACCCTGAAGCCCTACAGTAAAAGCCAGAAAGTTGGAATATGATTATCCTAAACCCTTTATGGTAAATTATATTTTATCCTACCCTGAAACCATATTCCAACTTTCTGGAGTTCCCTTTACACTGCTCTAAAGCCGATACACCCCGAGCTTTCAAGCTGAAGCGAAGACTCGGGAGGCGTGGTGCGCACGTTCAGCCTCCAACAAGTCATGCGGATCGTCAATGGTGTTTGGTTTTACGCTAGGGCAAGACGACGATGTACAGTTTGAAAGCATTCTCCATCAAGACTATACTGCTGTATCCAGCTTTTGCATGGAGTCTTGCTACGATTTCAAGTTGAATTCTTGATTGTGGGACTTTTGAAGGTTCTGGACCTTTCGAGCAGGCGAAGTCCTTGGCCGTGGGCTCCGGTGCCTTTGGTTTCGGGCTTAGACCTCATGTAGTTTCGGGTCGATGTACGTATGTATGTTTGTATACATACATGTGCAAAAATGCGCATACATACATATATATATATATATATATATATATATATATATGTATGTATTTATATATACATACATACAGATATGTATACATATATACATATCAATAGGGCTGGCCTCATGTGTCTATTTTGCGTTCCACCTAGCTAGGACGAGCCTTCACTCATGGGTCTGCAGGGTCGTGGGTTGTCTTCGGCTTTGGGCTGCTCGGCTTCGTACATAAGCTTGGAAGTGAATCACCGCAGAGAGCTCTGTTTCAATCGGTGACGACAGGAAACCAGGCTCAAGGTACAGCCTGATATGGGATTTGCTTCAGAGCAATTTCCGGAGAGAGATGCAAAAGGGCGTTGGGCCCAGTTTGCAGAAACCTGACTGCGAGACCAGAAAACTCCACCAGCTGACAGCCCAGGAGAGTGTTCTGATCTTGCAATCCGAACCCCGCAACAAGCGGGATCCGCAAAAGACGATCAGCGCGCTTACCGCGCACGATCTGACACATGAGTGTCTTTCGTGGAAACCCTCAGCAGCCATCCACCAGTACAGTATAGCCCACGTGCGACTCTGCATCCGCCAACTCTTGGCCCCTCAGTACACCCCTATATGGGAACCCCAATAGTCAGAGGGTATACTATACTACAGTGTAGCAAGCGATCTTCGAGATCTCGTAATCTCTTATACTATAGCACATGTGCTTAACGCACCTCCACCGTTGCCTCATCGTGAGTGTGCACATGTCGCGGCACTTGTCTTGCAGCCCGGTTGGCATCCGACAGCTGTGGTTTCACATAAACATGAGCACGAACTGTTGGTCAAATTGACGGCGGTCTCTCTACCGTGCTGCTGCTGCTGCGTAGCTCCCTGGGCCTCTATGTTGCATAAAATCGGCACGCTGATCCCTGTGTGAGCGACGCTGAACGACGGTGCCGCTTTGACACGAGCATCCCATGCTTGGGCTACAAGCAAGCTGAATGGCTGTCTATGCCAGAAATATTTGCCGACGGTACAAAACAAGCGATCGGGAAGTACCATGAAGGGCTTACGCCAAGCTTCACTGCGGGAGTGGCATCTTAGCGCCGGACAAGGAAGCAGCAGCTTGAGTAGAGGTGTTGCAGGGCCCTCGAGGCCGCCCCCCACCCCCCCCCTGTGGGTCAGAGAAACTTGAGCAGTCAAACAATAAATAGAATCGGGCGTCAGGGAAAATTTTGCTGTGAGACTAGAACAGAGTACATTGCTCAGTATTCCGACGTGTATATTCGAGGCTTCCTTACAACCAAAATCGCTCCGTGATGCCGGCCCACTGGGATGGGGGATGCTTCCGGCAGCCTTGCGCTGTGCTTGGATACTCTTCTCTTGACCCCAAAACCGTATAAGCTAACAAGAGGGCCTCAATGTGTACTATATGGATATATCATAGTGCAAACACTAAGGAACAACTATGCTATCTATTCATGCCCCTATGCTTGCAAGCTAACCTTCTCGCTCTGCATGGAATACGGAACTTGCGCGCTCTTCCCTTTCGATTGAGATGCAAAGGTTCGACCGACGAGTACCAAGCAAAACCTGATTCCAGGATTACTGCCTGGATCCCTTCTACCGCAGGAACCGTTCAAAACTGATTGAATTCTTTGAAACATCCGTGCAAGCCGAGACTGATCAAAGACAGAGATCTGCTTAGGGTATGGGGGGGTTCCTCCATTTGGGGGTTTCCGAAAATTCGGGGACCCTATAATATAGCACCCTAGAAAACAGGAGCCTTGATATACGGATCCCAAAATAAGATACCCCCCAATTGCGGGAAACTCTAAACCCCCTTGAAGGAACCCTTATAATTACCCTTATAGAAACCCTTGAAGGAACCTTTAGAGGTCCCCCTAACTGTCGGAAACTCCCATTTAAGTCTTGCTCTGCTATGTGCAACGAGTCTCGATCCCAGTGGTGTTTCAGAGATTTAGGGTTTAGAGTTTAGAGTTTAGGGTTTAGAGTTTAGCTTTTAGAGTTTGGGGTTTAGGGTTTAGAATTTGGGGTTTAGGGTTTAGAGTTTGGGGTCTTTTCGCAGTCCCGCTAAGCAGCATGTGCACGTGGCCTCTCTGTGTAGGGTAGCAGTGGGTAGTACCCGCCTTCTGTCACAGTCTTTCTCACGAGCACGACGAGGGACCTTACAACGCAAAGCCTGCACCGGCAACAGCACTATTTATCAGGATACAACTCCACTCAAAACAAGCTCAAACCCTTTTTGCTACTGGGCTCAAGTCTTGCCGGCAAGGCCCTAAACCCAAAGTTCTGTCGTGCTGAAATACAGCAGAGGAGCTTCGGAGACCTTATGTCTCAAAGGTGGAGTCCTCGCTGTCAGTGGTCTCCTCATCTGAGCCCGGAGGCTGCACCGAGCGTGGATACCAAACACCTCGGCGGGGCAAAGGGGGGGTGGGGGGCGGGGGTTGGATTTGAAGCTTGTTTTTTGAGTTGTTTGGAGGGCCCTTTTCCTACTGTAGGATTTGAAGCTTGGGGCTATAGGGTTTAGGGCTACCGTAACCCCAAATAACCTACCTTTTTAAGGCCCCCCTAATCCCTAAAAGGGTAGGTTCCTTAGGGTCCAAGTAGGGTTTAGGGCTGCAGGGTATAGGAGTCTGAAGCTTAGGGCTTGAGGGCTGATAGGTCCCTATCAACCCAGAGCTTCCAAAACCCCTTAATTAAGGAATATACCTTAAATTATAGTAGGGTCCCTAATATGATTTAAGGTATATTCCTTAATTAAGGGATTTTGGAAGGTCTGGGAACTTGTGAGGTTTGTGCCGCCCCAGAAGTCACGACACCAGAACTAGACCCAAGAGTAACCTAGGAACCCTAAACCCTAAACCCTAAACCCTAAACCTAGGAACAAAACAGGGTGCCCTTGTTGGTTTCAAGGGGCTTATACTTACAAGGGAACCTGTACCCTAAAACACAGGGGATCATGGCCTGCTCTGCCCTAAGGCCCCAAAGTAGTTCCTTTTTGGGGTTCATATATAGAACCCTATAAGGTAATCCCAAAAAGGAACTACTTTGGGGACTACGGGTAGGTCCTAGAGAAATCGTGGGGCAGAAAGATGGGAACTCCTGGAAATGCACCCTCTTGGCAGTGAAATTATCATGAACACGCAGCCTTAAACCCCCAAGCCCCTGAACCCTAATCTACCCTTTTTTGTTGAACCCTAATCTACCTTTTTTTTGAACCCTAATCTACCCTTTTTTTTGAACCCTAATCTACCCTTTTTTTTTGAACCCGAATCTACCCTTTTTTTTGAACCCTAATCTACCCTTTTTTTTTGAACCCAAATCTCCCCTGAACCCTAAAGCCCTAAGGGCGAGGCTGAATGGCAAGGGGGTTCTTTGAAGGCTTCCTTTACGGGCTCTTTTAAGGGGACTGTAGGGTTCCTCGTGGTGTTCACCTTTACAGGTTACTGTAGGGTTTAGGGTTTTAGGGTTCCGTGATAGATGACAAGTCGGTCGAGATCTTTCACCCTTTCTGGAAAAATTCTTGCTTGTTTTGCTTCCTGCCTGGCTAGGTCGAACCTGAGCTTTACGGTTTACAGTTTGGGGCTGTGCATATTCCCATATCCCCAAAATTCCCATCACGTACCACGCATCTGGCAATTCAACTGCCGCTAGAACGCCAACCCAAACTGCAGTGGCTCTGAAAAGCTCATAGTCACCTCAACCTCGACCTAGACCAGACCAGACATTGCCGACTAAGCCTTAAATGTTAAATCCCGGAATTACACCCACAACTGTCTGGTTCTTAGTAGGGAATGGGGGTATGGATCATGGAGACTATTATTGGGGCTTATATAGGGACGAGTATAGGGATCCATTCTCCCATTCCCGACTAAGCACCAGACAAGCAACCTGCCCCCGGCCCTGGCGAGCCCGAACTAAATTCCCAAGGAGCCTTCGGATGTCGTGGGGGGCCCTCAACCTTGAACCCTGAATCCTAAACCCTAAACTCCTGAACCCTAAATCCTTCTAGCGAAACAGCGACCTCTAGACCCCAGTTGCCTGTATATTGGGTTACTGTCCCTTACAGAAACCTGCAATACCCATGACCCACTACGAGTAGCCCTCCGTTACTACATAAATACACCGGCTTCTGGAAGACTGCCATAGCCAAGCCACAGAGCGAAAAAATCAGCATCGTCACCCCGAAGCACAGGGCACCGGCCAGCGGGCTTGGAAAAAGCTGAACGCAAACCTGAGGTTGAGGATGATGGGAGGCCAAAACGGGGGGTTTAAGATCCTTGGGGTAGGGATTCCTTAACTTGACCCCTATTATGGGAACCCTAATCCCTACTAAACCCCCATAGGCTAAAACCCCTTTTGGCCTCCTATGATTGGTTGGTAACCCTACACCCTAAACCCCCTAAACCCCTAAACCCCTAAACCCCTAACCCCTAAACCCTAAACCCTAAACCCCTAAACCCCTAACCCCTAAACCCCTAAACCCCTAACCCCTAAACCCCTAAACCCCTAAACCCCTAGGCCCTAAGCCCTAAACCCCTAAACCCTAAACCCCTTTTGGCCTCCTATGAGAGGAACCCTCGGGGGCGGCCCTGGGGTCACTCCGTAGGGCTCCGGTTGCCTAGATACCAGGTGACACGGCTCTACCTATAGTCTCCATTGTAGTTCCTTTTTTTTGGTTTAACCAATTATATATTTAGGATCCTAAAAGGTAACCCCAAAAAGGAACTACAATGGAGACTAAAGTAGGTATAACACATGCATGGTTACCCATGGGCTCCATACACGCAGCCTGAAAACCAGGTGTTCTCCGGATCCGGGGTTTAGGGCTCAAGGTTTATGGGGTTTACCCATGGGCTCCATAGGAGTTCCTTTTGGGATTAGCCTATTGGAGTCTATTTATATATATATATATATATATATAACACCAAGAAGGAACTACTATGGGGCCTATGGTTAGTAACCTACTACTTAAGTAACTGGAGCACTCGGGATTGATCCTGCGGCTGTGACTGTGTGTGGGCTACAGTCTATAGAGGGTTTAGATTTAAAGTGCTGCTATCCTTTCCCTGAACCGTAACTAACACCCGAACGCTGAACCAAATCCCACAGTCGCCCATTCCACGACTCTAAGCCCGCAAATGCTTGATCCCAAATCCTTAAGGTAGAAGCCAGAAAGTTGGAATATGATTATCTTAACCCTTCTATGGTAAATTATAGGGTATCCTACCATGAAACCGTATTCCAACTTTCTGGCTTCTACTGTAAAACCTTACATGTATAAACCCCGATTCCGAAACCCCTCCAGACCAACGCTCTGCCACCGGAGCGACTGGGCAAAGAGTGCTATCCAAGGGTAAAAGGAGGCACCCTTAATAAGGACCCCTAGGTATTTAAGGGATCCAACAGGGTTCTATAAAGGGTTTAGGGGTTAGGGTTCTTTTAATAAGGACCCCTAGGTATATACCCTTGATATAGCTATTATCTACCCATTATATAGCCCATTATTGGGTAAGGGTCCCCATTAAGGGTCCCTCCTTTTCCCCTTTGATGCTTACAACTTGGAGAACCTCTTGGCCCACCCTAGGGCTTTGGGGTTTAAGGGATTAAGGTTTGGCTCCAGTTGCCGATATAGTAGGTTACTAGGGTACATACTACATGGTTAGCAACCTACTGTTTAGGCAAGCGGAGCCCTATGGGCTCTTCGGTTTTGAACCTGGATAAAACTGTCTCGTTATGTATTTGGGTTCAGAGTTTTCACTTTACGTCAGGTTACAAAACCTGAGGATCCTCCGAACCCCCATCTAAATATCTCTTGAATTTGAGCATTCAAAGGCTGCAGTGCGAGAAGCCTGAGATTTCAAAGCCGACGGAACTCGAGGGTTTTGAATTCAAGGACTGTCTCACTTTCAGGGTTTAGTTGGAGCAGGGTTAAGGGTTTCAGGTTTATGGTTCGATTTTTCTTGGGGTCTAGGGAGACCACTGTGCTACAAACTGGCCACTGGCTTGAAAGTGTCGTGATCGGGGGGAGGGATCAAGATAAAGCTACCTAACCCTTTATTGATGTCGCTTCTGGGCGCTTCTGCTGTTGGAGCTTTACTAAAACCTCTGCAATTCCAGAAAGCTTGCCATCTGCAGACAAAGGAGCATATTGGTAGGCCACAACTACCACGGATACCATCACTAGCAGGGAAGACCCGCACACTGTGATGCCGATATCGCGCCTGGACAGCTTTGCTGGCAACCTCTACTAAAGCCTCTCTCTCTCTCTCTCTCGCTCTCTCCCTCCCAGGCATTCGAAACGTCAAGCCAGCTCTACTGAACCCTAAACCTTAAATCCCATAGCCTATATAATCCCTAAACTCGAAATCCCAAACTCTGTTACTTCTGCTTGTGCGCACCCTGCATTCCAAAGCAAGAGCCTGCAGGCCTGCCCTCTGCAGGCTGAAAATGGGTGGTTGTCAAAATTATGGTCCCTTTCTGGGTCCCTATTATAGTACGGAACCACCCACATGGATCTTGCGTCGGACTCCGGCATGTAGCCAGGATGGGACACACCGTCGTATTGAAAACTCTTTTCATAAATAGAATATGATGCCATAAGTGATGTCATAACAGCGCATTGCACACCTTTGAACGTAACTTCCTCGACCCATCCCGCGAAAAAGTCCCTACAGCCTAAGCCACGTGCATTCCTGAAAAGACCCTACCTATAGTCTCCATTGTAGTTCCTTTGATCCTTGATATAATTAAAACTGGTTAAATCAATAAAAGGAACTACAATGGAGACCATAGGTAAACCCTTGACCCTAATGGACCGCTCAGGGTTGACAGTTGAGGGTTGAACTCTCGCCAAAAGGATCGCTGCTTTGCAAGGATGCCAGGGTGAGATGAGGCCAGAGATTTTAAAGTCCACCCATGCTCACCCTAAACTCCACATCTTAATCCGAATCGAACTGCTACTACAGTAAGTAGCTTTAGGGTTAAGCCATTTACGGTACCAAATTGTGGTTGAATAAGCACAGCCATTGCTGTAGCTGCTGGTGCGGTGCGTATGCATATGCCAGAGTCAGCCAGGCAACGTGGCGACGGAGTGTTCGGGAAAGCTTCGACTCTCACGACTTCTTGACTAGACTTTCTTGGACACTTCAAGCTGTCTTTGTTCGGTCGGAATTTGGCACCCTCAATCCCAAACAGCGGTTTCCCAAACTTGTCTCAAGAGGTGTCTCCCACAACACCAAGAATCCAAGTGATCCAAAATCCAAACTTTCCTCAAAAAACAACCTGCGATGATTACCGTCCTAAACCAAAAAGGTTTTGGGCTGTGTGTTGTACATAGACCAGGGAACCCTAATGAGTACTGTTGCAAATGTTCACTATGACTTGCAAGCTACATACGATATTCAAGGGGCACTTAACATTATGATTTAGGTGCATTGCTAAATTCACCTGTACTTGGCTCTCTGCGATCAGCCCTTGACGAGCCTTGATTTAGGGACTTAAAATTGAGTTTTGCACTGAATGCTTTAGGGCTTGGGGTGTGGGATGTTAGAGGGTGTTAGAGGGTCTTAGGCTAGGGGGGTCAGAGTTCCACACTCTGATGAAACCCTGGCGAGTGACATAGTTCAATGCTCTTTCGAAACCTCTGAACCCTGTATGCCTCTCACATGGGTCAAGGCTGTGTATTACGGGATACTTTGGCTGGGGATGTACCCAACTCCTCCATTTTGTATGTTGTTGGCAAGGTCTTTGCATTGAGGACCCTATGCTCTGAACCTTTCGCGGAGTCTGTGCGCTAAGCCTATGCTATGTGTCCTTATCACTTAGAAACTGACGAGTTTTGACACCAGAAACCTGGATTGGCAAACATCTGGAAGCCTTCGCACAACTGACATTCACCTACTAGCCCTCGGCCTGCAATACAAAACCTAAACCCTATATGGGAGTTTCCGAAAATAGGGGGTACCTTATTTGGGGGTCCTTATAATAAGGATCCTACTATTTAGGGTACTAGATTGGGGTCTCCCTATTTTCGGAAACTCCCATATAAACCTCAGAATAACCTTAAACTGCAATAGTCGGCCCCATAAACCCAAACAGCACACTATCAAACTCATTCCGCCAGCTTTACAGAACCCTGCGAATCCCCAGATCTCAGGCAAGAGCCATGACAGCAAGTTCCCAGTCCGAAGCAATCCGCCGGTGACCATCGCTGGCAAAATGAACCTGCGGTTCCAGGGAGCCCCAGGTGCCCCTGAATTCGAAGAACTACTCCGTCCTTGATATTATATGTGGATCCGTAAATCGAGGGATATACCTTGAACTAGAGGGGCCCTAACCTCATAGTTGATGACATAGATTCTTGAATTGAGGGATATTGAGCTCTCTGTGTTCCGACAAAAGAGATGGCACCGATGACACCCATGCAACTGTTCTCAATGAAGCTAGACATATAAAAAAAACAGTAGCCACACTCCCTGAAGCATATGTATACACATATAGAGAGAGAGAAAGAGAGCGAGAAAGAGAGAGAGAAGAGAGAGCGAGAGAGAGAGAGAGAGAGAGAGAGAGAGAGCGAGCGAGACCAGTAGTGATCTTACTGGTCGTTGCTGCAAACCCTGCACCATACACATGTGCATGTATCTACCTACCTATCGATCTATCTATCTAACTAGGTAATCGGATATGTAGATTATATATATATATATGTACACAACTATGATTAGAACTATGCTTACAAATCTATATGGATCTAGAAATGACTCTAACCCCTGGAGCATATTAGTACACGAAAAGAGCAGACTTATGCATCCATACATATAAATATATGACACACACATATATATAGTATAGAAAGAACTATGTCCAGAGAGAGGTCGAGAGAGAGACAAAGCGAGAGAGAGAGAGAGAGACAGAGACAGAGACAGAGAGTGAGAGAGAGAGTGAGAGAGAGACAAAGCGAGAGAGGGAGAGAGAGAGAGAGAGGGAGAGAGACAAAGACAGAGAGTGAGAGAGAGAGAGAGAGAGAGAATCTATCAATGCGAAGCCATGAACCGTACACCGGCAAACTGCTGACCACAATGCTTGACCTGTTCTCGGCCCAGTCGCAAGGTAGGACCCGCAGCCAACCACCAAGACAATCCGATGATGCCCACGATCGAAGCCCAGTAGTCTGGGATTCAAGCCGAATAGGACCCAGGGGCTTCACCCGAAACCCGAAGCCCCCGACAGATTCGGCCACATGGCAGTGCGGACTGTCAGGGCTATGGGGTTTAAGCAACTGTGACTAACAGTACAAGCAGGTGGACCTCTAGCACAGAATAAAAATACAAGCTTTTGGGTCAAGCTTTAAAGCTTAGGCTTTGGGCTAAGGTTGGGAACGGAGCCCGCATCGAAAGGTGTGAGGAACTGGACCAGGAGATTTGAGACCCTGTAGATGCAAGCTTTTCTACTAAATCGTAAATGACAGGTTGATCCCTATAGTAGAAGCCCCAAAGTTGGAAACCCAATAGCCTCAATCCGTAGGAGGAATGTCTAGGGACTCGCAGCACAAACTGTCCTTAATCCGGTTTCCAACCTTTTGGGATCTACTATAAGTTCCGCAATATAAATATAGTATAATGTACCCAAAAACCCTGTTATAAATAATCGCACATGACCGCTGATCCATAAACCCATAAGGTGCAGCTCCTGGGTCTCTCGCAACTCATGGACCACCTATAGTCTCCATTGTAGTTCCTTTTCTGGTTTAACCAATTTTATATTAAGGATCCTAACAGGTAACCCCACAAAGGAACTACAATGGAGACTATAGGTAAGGCCTAAAGACGGTGCAGTGGGGGGATCACGGGGGGCGATCACAAAATCATCTAGGTTTGGGGTTTCCGTTTAAGGTAAAGCGATTTGGGAGTTTCCGAAAACAGGGGACCCCAATGTAGTACCCTAACTAATAGGATTCTTATTATAAGGACCCCAAGATAAAATACCCCTAATTTGGGGAAACTCCCATGTAGGGTCCTGGCATCCTTCTATAGATGAGGTTCCGAATAATGCAGTGCACAACGAGCTATACCCCTAAGGCTCCATGTACCCATATAGTAGGTACTTCGGCCTTAAAGTGACTATATAATATAGGGACCTCTTTAAGGCTTAAGTATCTACTATAAAGGTACATGGAGCCCTTGGGTACTTCTAACGCCTCCCTTAGCAGACATGAAGCCAACTAAGGGCCCGCATCAAGCACCGATGGAGGGGTCGGAATCGGTCGGAATAAACAGTAACACTACTCCTCGGTGCTTAGTAGGGAATGGGGGAATGCATATTATGGGGGCTGTTTTTCGGGAGTATATAGGGGCCAATATAACCCTGCAACAATCCTAGAGCTCCAGTTTCCTAAATTCTGCCTAACATGATGTACTCCAGTAACCTACTCGGGTCACTGGGACGCTGGAAATAGAATCCCCCTCAACCCTACTGCAGCCCTACACCTTCGACCCCGAAACCCTAAACTCAACTCAGTGAAGTTCCCCGTCCACTTCATGATCCAAAGCCAGCTTTATCCACGGTCCCAGAGGCAGTCGCCAGACCTGAGCCGTCCTGCGGCCAGGTCGAAGTGGCCTCAGCTTTCTTAGCTTAACTTCTACTTGCAAGGGCTTCGGGTTAAAGAAACGGATCAACGGATTCGCGTGAGTAGGGTTCTTGGGGTCCTTTTAATAACGATCCGATTATTTAGGGTAATATATTGGGGTTCCCTACTATTTTCGGAAACTCATACTCTTTGGAGCTTCGGCGGTGTGGATTTCGTTGCCGGGTTGACTCCCAAGGGGTCCGTCAGCTTGGCATTCAGGGTTCACTGGGCCCTAAAAAAATCTGTCGTTTTAAGGATTTATACCAGGAAAGCCTGATTATAGAAAAGCATGATTATAGAACTCAGGCGCCCCCACAACCGGAAGTAAAGCCCGAAGCAGAGTTACCGTGTCTTGCTCATCGAAACCCTGCATACAACTTCTAGCGCCAACAATCCAGTAAGTGGTTGCTGTATCTTAAACCATATGCAAAGACTTGTTGCCCGCGACAGTTGAACTTTGGCTTATCGAGCACCCTGAACAGGACAACCGAGGAGGCGTTTCTTTCTAGATTCGGGCGACCCTATACTCCGGCCCAGCTTCCTGGATTGCAGAGCACTTGGGTAACAGCCGGGGCTTACTCTGCAAAGCAGCCCCATACTATCGGCGCCGCAGCCAGAATCAGCCACCTGTACCTCGAGAACCGGTGTAGGGTGTAGGGTTTAGGCTCAGGGTGGCCGAGATGTACCTCTGCCTAGGCCTAAAGTCGTGGGGTAATAGGGTGGGGTCGTGCCGAGCTGTACTTAATCTTTAGGTCGGATTTGATATGGCACACTTTGAAGGAACCATGAACGGTATCCCCGTGGCATTAGTGACTTCGTTATCATGTTGGGTTGCTGAACTTTCGGTAAAACAACCCGCGGTGGTTTCAAGTTTCGTCTTTGACTGTGTGGTTCCCCAAACAAGTTGCTCGACAGGCAAATACCGTCCACTGGATAGAACAAGTATAGACATCGCTTATCAGTCGCCATGTGATCCGTCAGTGTGATGGACACTATTCGCGGGGGTTCAACAGACAAAACCCTAAGGTTCCAGTTCCCTAAGCATAAAACATGTATAACTGCGAGTAACCTACTATTTAGGTAACTTGCGCCCCTAATTTGGGAGAACACTCCACCAAGGGCCCTGAACGCCCAAACCTTTTGATGTCTCAGGATTGTGTGGTGTCGAGTGTTTGGGGTGGAGATGGTGCACAAGCACGGAGCCCTCAATGCATCTCTCTATTTACAAAGTAAAGCGTGCACAAATGCCGAGATCCATCGAGAGCGGCGAGGGCTAAAGATGTCATTACCATCGGACTCATCGCATCAGCAGCATCAGCAGCAGCCGCAGCAGCATCTGCAGCAGGAGAGGCCGGCGACAGCAGGATGGGGCGTCACCATCATCATCACCAGCAGCGGTTAACATCGTCTTCCAGTCCAAATGCTGACAAACTAAAACGCGACTCAGTTCTGATGCCTCAAGGACCTAACTGCAATATGGCTCCTGTCAAGGCACGTAAATGGAAGCGCTCCAAGCCGCCGAGACAGTGCGGCAAAAACAATGCTCTGAACCTTTGGCTTTAAACGCTTTCCAGGAGCTCAGATATCAGCATAGTCGGTTACTGGGCTATGGGTACGTACATCTAGAACCTACAAAATTCACGATACAGCTCTAGTTCGGGGAGAAGCCGTCTTAGGTTGTAGGATTATGGCTTCGGTCAGGAAGCAGGCATGGGATTTCGGATGGGATTCTGGAATTGGCTGCTTCTCCGACTGCCCTAAACCGTATGGCACATGTCCTCGAAATCCTAGTTGCCGAGATTCTGGCAGCTTATACACCCTATAAACCCTGCTCTCAGCTCCCTCATTAAGCAGCGCTCGCGACAGACAGGTGAGCTGACGTGAAGAAGATGTGGAAGGCCGTCGCGGCCCCAAACCCTTCTTCAGAGTCTGGAAGCCTAAGCCCTAAACATTTTGGGGGTTTCGGGCTTGTGGGTTTCGGTTTTTTACACATGTTAGACCCAACCCTCCCACTGAGTCCCCTCTCGCTGAGGCATGTGGTGAAACCACTACCACGTGCGTATAGCGAAAACATGACGTCGTAGGTAGGCGAGAAGGAGCACGACATACGTACGCAGTGATGTAGCCAGGGCCAATAGAAGAGCAACTCAAAGGTCACGGGTTTAGGGTTGAGGGCCAACCGAAACACTGGACCCGACGGTCAATTGGGAGAAAACGGCGGCGAGAGGCAGTTGCCTCAAACGAAGCCACCGATCCGAACCAGGTGCGGATGCAGTCCTGAAGTAAGGATTTACCTATAGTCTCCATTGTAGTTCCTTTTGTTGGCTTAACCAATTTTATATTAAGGATCCCAAGAGGTAACCCCAAAAAGGAACTACAATGGAGACTATAGGTAGGGCTGAAGGGTTTGGGCCTTAAGCTTTCAGGATGTAGGGCTTCTGGGCCGTAGGGCTCAGTAAGGATTCCTTTTCTTGGATACTTTGCCTTTGGCTTTCTAGGATCCTAACCAGGAGATTTCTGAACCAAACAGGGGAACTACGTTGGATACTAGGGGTGAGCTTTAACACTTTCACTCAAACCCTGGAAAAGAGCAGAGCAGTCCAGCACAACTCTGCGGTCACATAGCCGGGCCTCACAGTGTCAACGATTTGTTGGACACTTCGGATTTGGAGTGTAAGGGTTTAAAGCGCTAAACCCCAAACCCCCAAATCCTCTCTTTGAGTCATTTGCTGGGGCCGGAAACCCCTCAATCCCTAAACCCTATACTCCCTGTGTTTGGAAAACTGCTGCTAGACACTCCCCAGTTTGGGTGCTGCTTATACTATACCGGGGAGAACTCGCTGGCAAGGAAACGCACGTATACATCAAAGCGGTGCTGTGAGGCTCCCTTCCTTTGTCTCTCGTCTCGTTCTCTCTTGTCTCGTTCTCTCTCTCGAAGCCTGAAAGCGAAACCCAAAGCCCTAAACCCAAATCGTGGAACCTGAACGCTACCTGTAGCTCCAAACCGTGTAAAAGAGTACTTAAAGTATAACCTGCCTGGTCATCATCATGACCAAGACTGCAGCAAAGGCATTTTGCCTCCTCCGAGTTCAAAGCGTCAGGGAGTTCGGTGCTTGCGTTTGGAGAGCTTAACTGTCCTAAGCAGTGGGCATGTCAGCATGTCTGTCGTTCGCTCCGCACGGGGGATCGTGAACCCTGATGGGGCCGACCTGGATTATAGCCAATCCAAGAGGGTCCATAGGGTTGATGATATCAATCATGCATTACCCATAATAAGGAATATACCGTAATTCGCACAGTGTAGGGTCCTTAAGGTACTGCAGGATTTATTCCATCAACAGTATGCACTACTATTCTGGCATTACGTCCCAAAACCATAATGGGATGGTTTTGGGACCTATTTCCATAATGGTAGTATATATCGAAAACCCTGCAGTAACCCGGCTCTTCACCATAAGCCAGCGACCAAAACATGGACTGCTCAACATGTGGTTTTCTGAGGACAGCTGGGGACACTGACCGGCCACACATCTCGGCAACTGAGCTGCTCGGATCGTCAAACATGATAAACATCAACTTGGCAGCCAGCCTCTGTACGGAAACTGTGCAGCTGGTCCTGAAAAGCGGGGGGTAGTTGCGACAATCCCGAAATCGGTTTGAGGCTTTGGGCCAGGGTAGGAGTTGGGCTTTTAGGGCGGGCTTAAGGGTTCTATGTTTAGGGCTAGGGTTAAACCCAACGCTACGAACACCCACATCCAGGCAACCCGCAAGATCAGCTCTACATCCGAGTGAAAACCTGCGGCCAGTTGATGAACATCTGGCGTATTAGTATCAGTAGTCTTCTTGTCATCATGATAACTCTCATGAGTTATTGTTGTTGTTGGTGGTGTTTGCATTCTTCCGTATAGTCTTGTCATTAGTAGCAGTACCACAACTATTTGTAACCTTAGCAATAACTAATATTGTCAATTGTTGTTGTTATTGTGATTACACTTCCGTCATTCCTATGCAACTGTGCACCGGCAGGCGATGAAGGCAATCGTTTGCACCAGCCTCCTCGTATGGAGTAATTCCCAAAATTTCGGCAAAGCTCCCAAAGCTTTTTGAGCTTGGGCCTACGAGCTTCTCATGAGCCCGGACAGCTAGTCTTCAGGTACTGAACCACTTTTGGGTTATCCATTACCCGATCCGCGCGGGTGGATGAGTTGAACTCGAACAGATTGACTACCTTGGCAACGGCTTCAAAGGCTGACTCGGGTTTTTTCTACTTTGACTATACTACCAGTAGGAACAATAACGGGGCAAGCTGTACTAATGCTTCCGACCCCTTACAATCTCTGAAAGGAAGAAGCAGCTTACACATTCGGTCGGCATCAAGGGAAAGTGCTAATCGCATTCTACTGGCGAAACCGTAAAACCTAAATACCATGAACTGCCAGAACTCCAGGGCTAAATCCTCCTCCTGGTTGGTTCCAAACCCCTAATTCGCCTCGATTCCGGCCGAAGCGGTCAGAGGTTCCTAGGCCACTGCCCCCCCCCCCCCCCCCCCTTAAAAATGGAAACGTGTCACTGAGCTGTGAATTCTCGCCCCCTCCAACAGATTTCTGCCTCCCCCCGCCTCCTCCCCTCCCCCCGTCCCCCCCCCCCCCCCCCCCCTCCCCCCCCCCCCCTCCCCCCTCCCGCCCCTCCTCCGCCCGTGGAGTTTTCGACGATACGGGACTGCAATGTAGCATCTTTATGTGTTGGGGCTCGCCTTTAAGGCTGCAGTACCAAGCGAGTTTCAAACCTGAATTCCTAACCCTACACCCTAACCCCAGCCTGAAAAATTGGGGCTCGCCTGTAAGGCTGCAGTACCAAGGGAGTTTCAAACCTGAATTCCTAACCCTACACCCTAACCCCAGCCTGAACAACTTTCGAACTACAAGAGCTTGCTGCAGATAGTAGCCACTCGCCGCATGCGCGTACAGCCGGGCCGAGGCGGACGACGCGCAGCGTTTCAATTTAAAGCCTTAATCCTGAGAACTACGGCCCCATCTTTGGCTGATAGCTCCGGCTCGAGCCGGCTTTTGACTAAAGCCAGGAGCCGAAAGCAACACAGCACTTAACTCACAACGTACCTTAACGGGATCTGTTCTCAAAGCCCTAAAACCAATCAACATTCCTAAACTCTAAACCCTACAAACCCTAAACTAAACCCCTAAACCCTAAACCCTAAACCTACAAACCCTAAACTAGACGCTAAACCATCTAAAGCCACAAACGACCGAAGCATAGCCCTGAAAAAGCATCAGGCCTATTGAAAGCCATCGCCTCAAGGTGTGGAATCCCTACTTAGAGGCCCAGGGGACTTGGTTATAAGTAGGGCTAGGCTTCCTGAAAGGGATCTATGGGGTTTAGGGTTTAGGGTCTACTGAGAGGGGCAGGGACTTAGTAAGTAGTTTATAAGCAGGGTTATAATTGGGGAAACTCCATTTAGGGTACTTATGACCCTACTTATAACCTACTTACTAAGTCCCCTGGGCCTCTAAGTACCCTTATACATTCCGCTCTGCGGACCCATATCTACTGCTTTTGAGCCCAAATTGGCACCAAAAACCAGACTACATCAGGCTCCTTTGGCAGATCTTGAGCCTTACCCTAAGGGTCCAAAGGACCCAATAATAAGGTACATGGGTTTAGGATAGTAGTTATGTATCTCTCACTTGGGAGAGTATATGATTATTAGGTGCTTGGACCCTAGAGGGTTAGGGTTTATAGAATCCTAAAGGCGACGGTCCAGACCTTAAAAGGCAGGCGCCTCATTGAAACATCCCCTAGGTGGGGCTTTTAAAGCCTTTGAAAAATATCAGTAAACAAGATCCTCTTAAACCCAATAAGGGGAAATATAAAATGTCCCAAAGCCCTACCTAGTCCCCCAAGCCTTGTATTCCTAAAAGCTGCGAAAGGAAGAACTTCGAAGAGACCCTGGGAGCTTCAGAAGATTCGGGGGCCTTTTGCAGGGTTTGGGAGTCTGTGGGCTTTAGTTTGGGTGGCCTCTTTGCTTTAGGTCAGGATTTCGGGGTTGGTGTTTTTCCGGGTGCCAAACTGAAGCTTAATACCAATTTAGGGTCTGTTCTTTGAGTACCTCGGAGCATCTGAACTCTGGCGAAGGCGCATCGAGGTGGTACGGCGCCACCCGTAGGTCGATCTCGTGGAAATCTGAGAACCCTGGACAATCCCAGTTCCTGGCAAAGGGCATCGGGCTGCTTGCTTTGGAATGCTGAGTCAGGCGAGGTTCGAGAGTGTATTGTCATTCATTATAATTAACTCTAGAGTAACCATACGGCTCCAACTACCATCATAGCAGGTTACTAATCATGTGTTTTGTGCGCGAGTAGTCCATTAATTGGGGAACTGGAGCCCCAAGGTAACGTCATCCAAGTCTTTCCAAAGCCGGTCGCCTTTACATAGGTGGTTGTCAAAACTAGGGTCCCTGATAGCTTCCCAAGCTAGAGGGAAGGGAGATTTTGATTTATAGGTACCTTTTATGGGCTTCTTTGAAAAAGTTCCTTTAGGGGTGCCTTTAAGGGTTCCCTAATAAGTAGCTGGGACTCTTCAAAACCCTGTCCTGACGATGTGGCGCACAAGTGGCACTCCTCCCCAGCGGAATTTCCAGTGCGGCGGACCTGTCCGACGAACCATAAGGAGGCTTTTCAGGGTTTGGGGGTGTGCAGGCTTTGCTATAATTATAAGAAGTTTAGGCTGAGGTTTTCATGGTTGGGGATTTCGGGTCAAGGGGTCAGGGTTCAGGAACGGGGTTAAGTGCGTAGAGGTGTCAAGGCTTATGGTCTATATGGTTAGGGGGGTGGGTTTATGGGCGACGGGCGTCGGCTCTGCAAAGCAGAACGCCACCAAGTCCAATGACTCCCAGCATCCCATGCTGATCTTGACGCCTAAACCGCGCTGAACCCCAAATCCGCAAGCCTCCGCAACCCCAGTCCCTGAAGCCCTAAACCGTAGGACTGGAGAGCCCTGAACCCTACAAAATATAGGGGCCTTAATAATTAGAATAGGGTTTTGGGGCCCATGATAGTATAATTACAATAAGGAACCCCTCACAATAGTATTGGTAATTATTTCGGCCCCTATACTATAACCCTGAAGCCAGGAGGCGATCATGGATGAACAAGATTTCCTTGTACCGCGGGGGGCAAACGTTGACGTTGGTCTCCAGAAACTTGAGGATAGCCCAGTTAGGAATGTGGATGATCGTGTCCTCGGAGAGAAATTCGCTCGTCTTATTGTTTCGGGGTTTAGTTTAGGATTTGGGGCTTGTGGGCGAACGGTTAAGGGTGTAGGGTTTCTTCCCTCTCACATGGCTACTACCATGCAATACCTCACCCTACCTTTAGTCTCCACTGTAATTCCTTTTTGGTGTTACCTTTTAGGATCCTTAATATAAAACTGGTTAAACCAAAAAAAGGAACTACAATGGAGACTATAGGTACTATACCCTGAACCCTAAACCCTAACGATCCCTGAAAGGAGTTCTTATAGATCCCTATAAAGGGACCATACCTAACCCTAAACCCCATTGCTTCACAACAGAGGGTTTCTAGTTTCAGGGCTCCGGTCCGGGTTTTAGGTGGTCCTGCAGGTTGTCCCCAGAAGCGCACGGTTGCCAAGACAGTGGCTTAGTGGGTTATGCTCTACTTTAGGGTTTGTAGGGTTTAGAACTCCACTGCATGTTAAGGGGGAAACGAGTTTTAGGGGTTGTCGGCATCGGAAAAACTTTTGAAATACCACTTGAGGCTTCGGCTATCTTGCTCAAAAATGTAAAATGTACCTACTGACGATGACTAAACCCTAAATCCTAAATAACTGTAAAGCCTACCTACAGTCTCCATTGTAGTTCCTGTTTTCGGTTTAACTAACTTTATAAGTAGGATTCTGTAAGGTAGCCCCAGGAAGGAACTACAATGGAGACTACAAGTAAACCCTGATACAACCGATGGCTGGGGCCCCTGCCTTGGTGATGAGGAGGTCCGCCTTCGGCAGTTCTTTCAGCATGTCCCCGACTTCGAAAGCCGCAGAACGCAATCCGTACTGCTGGGGGTCTTTGTCCTCTTTTGGTCTTTATTCGGAGGCCTCAAAAGGTGGGATGAAGGTAGGTAGGATTAAGGATCCCTTATATAAGGACTCTTATTTGGGAATATCCCACCTACCTTCATCTCACCTTTTGAGGCCTCCGATTTATCGGGCTCCAGGCTCTAGGCTCTGGGAAAGCCTACGTGACATTGTCGATATTCCCTTCTTGGGCTTAAGAGGATCTATTTACAAGTATTTGTCAGAGGCTTTACAGGGACAATCCAGGGCATTTTGATGGTTTATAGGTTGCTTCGCGGTTTTAGGGTCCTCGCGTCGATTCACGAGCAGGCTGTGGCACGACGGCCAGTTCTGTAGCACGGACAACAACATCGCACACGCCCATGGTTTATCGGTCAACCCGTGACAGCGTTGCAAACATAAGCCCCGCCATAACCCCTAATCACAACTTTTTTCAAGATCATACTAACCCTAAACAAAGGGGTATCGGCTTCAGTGCTTTATCGCTAATGCCTTGTGGTGAAGAAGAAATGCACACTCCTTGAAAAATGCTCTGTTATCTTCGATCATCTTCGGCGTGATGTCCACGCCGGTGTAGTCCTGGCCGGACCATCTCACGCCCCGCTGCCAGCCGGAGGGCCAGTGTCCGGAGGACACATCCACTACTGAGCCTTGCTGCACAGGGTTCGTACAAATATGCAAAAATTTCGGGAAGCTGTATACAAACATAAATCTATAGCGGAAACCACAACTGACCGTATACTAAATCTTCACGGCCCCTAGCCCGAGTACTCCGGTAATGATAACGGGTTACTGGATAACTGGAGATCTACGGCAATTTATTATGGAGGAGTTTTCTAGTCGCGCAGAGTGCAGGATTCTATAGGGATACTGTAGGGTTCGTCTTATGGCCTTTATGGCTCTATAGGGTTCTACGAGTCTCTTACATGGGCTGTATAATGGGTATATAATAGCTGTATTAAGGGTATATGGTATATACCTAGGGGTCCTTATTAAGGGTCCCTCCTTTTACCCTTGGATTACATTTGCTTCAAGGCTTTTGGCCTTATATGGGGACAGAAAAAAGACAAAGTCCTATCTTCCCCACAATCCTATTCAAACCATTTAGGCTCCTACATTAGAAGCCCACAAAAGTCTCAAGCACCCTAAACCCTAAACCCCATAGGCCCTCTAAACCCCAGAAGCCCTAAACCCTAGAAAACCTCCAACATAGGGGCCTTAATAAACATAATTTGGTTTGGGGGTCTATACTAAACTACAATCAGAGAACCCCTCCCCCAAGCCAAAAATAGGTAAGGTAATTACTAAGACCCCTATATTAGCCTGCACCCTAGCCGTAGAAGCCCTAAAACATACACACCCTATGAGCCCGCAACCCTAACCCTAGAAGCCCCAAGACCTATAAGACCTAAAAAGTCGAAGTCCTAAACACCCTAGAAGCCCCAAAACACCAGAAACCCCTTAAACATATCTAAACCCTAAAAGCCCCAAACACTTAAGCAACCACTATAGCCTATGGTAAGCCCTAAACCCTAAACCCCTGTAAATCCTAAACCCTAAACTCCTAAACCTATGGTAAGCCCTAAACACTAAACCCCTAAATCCTAAACTCCTAAACCTATGGTAAACCCTATACCTATACCCTAAACCCCTAAATCCTAAACCCTAACTCCTACCTTAACCTACCAAAACCTACTTTTGTGTAGGGCCCCTAAAAATTCCATATTAGGGCGTATATTTAAGACCCTACAAAAAAGTAGGGTTTGGTAGGCGAAGCCCTAAACTCCTAAACTTATGGTAAACCCTAAACCCCTAAACCCCTAAAGCCCCAACTCCTAAATCCTAAACCCCTAAATCCTGAACCCAAACTCTAAATCCTAAACCCCTAAGCCCGAAACGCCTAAACCCTAAACCCCTAAAGCCCTAAATCGGGGGGTCTCTCTCTCTCTCTCTCTCTCTCTCTCTCACACAGGCACTCGAAACCCTAAAACCGAAGACCCTAAACTCCTAAACCCTCTAGCCCTGAACCAGGGGCTGATGTTCCGAGAGGACAGGAAAGAGCCGAGCCAGTCGAAGAAGGGCTTCAGCTCCTCAGCTTCGGCCTCTGGGTTCTATGGGGTTTAAGGCGTATCATAGGTTTTTAGGGGTTCCTTTAAAAGGATCCTAGAAGGGCTCCTATGCTGCGGCCTTGGGTTCTATGGGGTTTTCGGATTTAGGGATTTAGGGGTTTAGGGGTTCAGGGTTTAAGGCTTAGGGCTTGAGGGGTTTAGGGCTTACCATAGCAGGGTTGAGGGCTTATCATAGGTTTTTAGGGGTTCCTTTAAAAGGATCCTAGAAGGGCTCCTATGCTGCGGCCTTGGGTTCTATGGGGTTTTCGGATTTAGGGATTTAGGGGTTTAGGGGTTCAGGGTTTAAGGCTTAGGGCTTGAGGGGTTTAGGGCTTACCATAGCAGGGTTGAGGGCTTATCATAGGTTTTTAGGGGTTCCTTTAAAAGGATCCTAGAAGGGCTCCTATGCTGCGGCCTTGGGTTCTATGGGGTTTTCGGATTTAGTGATTTAGGGGTTTAGGGGTTCAGGGTTTAAGGCTTAGGGCTTGAGGGGTTTAGGGCTTACCATAGCAGGGTTGAGGGCTTATCATAGGTTTTTAGGGTTCCTTTAAAAGGATCCTAGAAGGGCTCCTATGCTTCGGCCTTGGGTTCTATGGGGTTTTCGGATTTAGGGATTTAGGGGTTTAGGGGTTCAGGGTTTAAGGCTTAGGGCTTGAGGGGTTTAGGGTTTAGGGCTTACCATAGCAGGGTTGAGGGCTTATCATAGGTTTTTAGGGTTCCTTTAAAAGGATCCTATAAGGGCTCCAAAGCTTCGGCCTTGGGTTCTATGGGGTTTGAGGGGATTTAAGGGTTCGGAGGGTTTAGGGTTTAGGGTTTGGGGTTTAGGGGTTTGGGGGTTTAGGATTTAGGGCTTATCATAGGTTTAGGGTTCCTTTAAAGGGATCCTATTATATAAGGGTTCCTCGAAAAGGGATCCTATAAACTTAGTTGCTGAGTTCATAAGCCCAAAAAAGTGTACACTTTTCGTTTCATAGTGGGTGATATTATTCCAAAAAGTGTAACGTGCATCCACTCAGCCAGCAAGTGAAGCATCTATGAGGTTTAGGGCTCATAGGGTTTAAAGAGCTTATACAGGTTTTAGAGTCTATAGGCTTTAAGGTTTATGGGGCTTGGGGTTTGCGGTTTAGGGGCTAGTTTGGGTTCTATAGGGTGAGAGGGCTAGGGTTTAGGGTTTAAGGCCTTTAGGATTTAAGGTTTACTTGGTACTAGGGTTTAACGTTACAGCTTCAGACTTCTATTCTATATCAGCAACTTTATCACCAAAATGAGTCTAGGTTTATATTTTCGGGTTCATTGTTATTCTGGTAAGATTAATTACTACCAAAGTCCCCAAAAGCACATCCGTTAGTTTTTGTTGGGTTTCAAGCCTTCGATGCGGGGCCACTCACCGCCACATCCCAGTCGGGGAGTTCCCCACGGCTCCACTGCTCCGCGCGCTCCGCGTAGCCCTCGAAGGACTTCTGTGGATCTTGGCCTCAGGGTCTTCGGTTTAGTTGGGGTTTGGGGCTTGAGGTTTTAGGGCGGGGTACTCGGGCAAGTATTAGAGGTAATTACTAGACTTTTTGATCTGGTAAGAGCGGTAGTAAAGTAGGGGGTTTAAGGCATTTAAGTTTTCAGGGTTTACAGGGTGCTTCCACTTTTCCGGGGGCAGTGCTTGTCCTCCTTCTCCCGTGTCGCAATGGGTGCAGTTATCCACGACCACACTCCGGATGTGATAGCCCAGCCAGCTCAAAAGAGCGAAGACGGCAGAAGAGATGATCAAGGTCCATGGGCCCATGGCTCTAGCTGGGCTTGGAAGATGCTATAAGTTACCGTTTAGGAGTTTACAGTGCCCGCCCTGTGGACTTGGGGGAGATCTGTGACACTTCGCTTAAGCGCTTTGACTGAAAATGCCTGCGTCTGTCGAATCACGCAGTCAACCCCCAAACAAGGGTTCCTTTGAATGGGTCTATCAGGGCTACTATAACGTAGCGGCCATAATAATTAGCAATAAACAGAACAGGGTTTTGGGGCCCATTGTACTATATGACTAGAACAAGGACCCCCCCAAAAAAAGAGTATGAGTAATTCCGTAATTCCAGCCCGTCAAACACTACATAAGTGACTCCAAAGCTCAAGGCCCTACTTATTCTATTGGTTCAACTTTTTGCTTTTAGTTTAACCCGGAATCCCCAAGCATCCTGCATGCGCTGGATGGCTCGGTAGTAGCGGCAAAACATCCCAGTAAGAAAGCAGCTCGCAGGAACCTCAGGCGTCAGCCAGGATGTGCGGCTTGACAGGGTAAGGGTTCGGGGCTTATAGGGTTTCAGGGTTTAGTGGAATACAGCGTGACTGGGTATCAGGGTTTACGGAGTGCGCGGTTTGACAGGTCTAGGGCTCCACTTATACCTAAATTTGTTAGGTAACATGGGCCCGACTTCGTAACCTTACGTCCCAAACTTCCTTGCGTGGAAGGGGCGATGAGGATGAACTTGATCATCACTGGGATCATGCTCACGTAGGGGACGAGGAGGTCGAAGGACCCGAAGACCTCAACCAGCCCGTTTTTGCTGTTTTTTCTGGTGGGGCTTTGGGAGTTAGGATTAGGGGGACCTTCGGGGATATAGACCCTCTCAACAAGGTCCCTTTTAAGGGGGTCTCCCTCATAATGCTACCCAGGCTTTTGACACCTTCTCATTTTAAAGAACAGTTTCGGTGCTCACACTTTGGCAATCCAGGCGAGGCGTGAGGAGTGGAACCATCAAAGCCAGTTTAGGGTTCAGAGTGGTAAGTAGTTACCATATATACTTATAAGTATCTTAATAGGGACCCTAATTGGGGTTATGGTACTTAAAAGTATCTTAATAGGATCTTAATAGGGACTGTTCAAAGAAGTTGAACATGAATGCCCAAGGAAACGCCGTGTTAAGCGGTCACGTTTGTGAGCTAAGCCCTAAAACAGCTGGGCCTCTGGGAAGGGTTCAGGGTGGCAAACAGTCTAACCACAGGCGATATGGGGGGTTGGCGAAATAGGGGACCCTAAATAGAAGGATCCTTAGTATAAGGATCCCAAAATAAGGCACCCCTAATTTCGGAAACTCCCATATAGCTACACAGCAGAGTCCTGGAACCTATAGCTTCGCCACCTCCGACAGCCTACGAGCCAAACTGTGATGCCGGACGCGGTACACTCATCCTCACTCTTCACACTCGGTACACAGAACGAACTGTGATCACAATCAACATTGTCTTCTTCGCAATCACCGCCATGTACCAGCAGCACCACTTCATGATGACTGCCATCAACAATCAACCATCAAGCAGATTTGTCGGGTGACCAGGGGCTGGCTGCGCACATGCGACGGGGCTACCTAGAAGCCCGATATCCCTGATGCTCAGAACCGTGTTCAAATATGAAAACATAAACAACACAACTGCATAGGCACAGCCTAGACTCGCACCAGCTAGCGAAGATGTAGCATGTCCACGGTGCCAGAAATGTAGGTCGCACGACAATGTCCTGATTCTCCGGGGACGGGCTGACGTGCTTGATGATCTCTCTCTCAGAGTTACCACTATGGGCTATTAGACCTTATGGGTACCTTAATCTACCCTTAATAGGGTCCTAATAGGGATCTTTAGGGTCTAATAGCCCATAGTGGTAATCGAGGAAGGTTGGGGGGTTCGAAGGCAGAACATGCTGCTCCATGTATATCCCAAAGAATTTCAGCTGCATGCACATAAGAAGCCATGCCGCATCAGATTTCAAAGACCTTGATCGGTGCTAGGCATGGCTGACGAGACAAAGTCAGGAACGGCCTGCAGCATTTCACGGAACTGAGTTGGCAGAATACCACCAATAAACCATCACATATAGACAAAACAATCCAATTGGGTGGTCGCTTCACATGCCCCATCAAGTACCGACACATGTTCGCCATTGTCGAAATTCATCGGGCAAGGTCGTTAGAAAACGGTATGGCCTGCGCAATTCGTGGTGCCTCGTCGAGCAGGAGCAGCAAGACTATACACAGAGACTCCAATATCCCTTAATCAAGGAATATTCCTTAAATCATAGTAGGATCCCTAATATGACTTAAGGGATATTCCTTAAATTAAGGGATATTGGAGTCTTTGGGTACACAGGCTTGATTGGAGCTCGCGCCGGGCAGGTTCCTCGCCCTAATGGCCCTGTAAACCCTAAACCCCAAACCGCTCCAAAAAGGCGAAGCGCAACATGGAAACTTTGAACTTGAAGGTTTGTCATCAAAAGGACGAGATCTCCAAACGAGACCTACAGACCCCGATGGGCTTTAGAGCATGGCGGTGTTTTTTTGCACATGTTAGACCCAACGCTCCCATCGAGTCTCCTCACTGGGACGTATGAGGGTAGGGTTTTAGGTTTCAAGGCTTTAGGGACTTTAGGGTTTAGGGTTTACAAAGAAATGCAAACGTCCATAGCTGAGGCACAAAGAGCCCTGGAGACTTGAAGTAAGCAACCAGCAACCGTAAGTCCTACGGCTCATCCCGAAAAACCGATTGATCGATATCCCAAACCCTCAAAATTGGATTTACCCTGAACCCTTTTAAGCACGGACTTTGAATATTTTACCCTAAACCCTAAACCCTTAAACGTTTGAATCCTGTCAGATTCCAATCCTAGACTGTCCTTACCTCGGCCACCGAACCCTGCAATGCCATACCTTAGTTGCTGAGTTCATAAGCCCCCAAAAGTGTACAAAGTGTACACTTTTCGTTTTATAGTGGGTAATATTATCCCAAAAAGCGTGTATCCACTCAGCTAGTAAGATAAAGCCAGCATCGAAAACTCGCCAAGCCCCCCTATCACACCCAGAAGGACAGATGCGGCAAGCAAGGGTCGACCTCCTCGCTCTCGTGGCCTTTCCTGAGTGATGTTGGTTCTATTACAACAGAAACAAAGCAATAATGTTAGAAACAATACAACCAACAGTAGGGATCAAACTCGACTACAACCACAATCCCAGGACACCAAGTAGCCCCTTGATGATAAGGGCATTGTTTTTTCGCACACTGTTTGGCGATAATGAGGGAACCCATAAAAGCTAGAAAGGGTACTACTGGGGAACCCAGAATCCGAATGGCAACAATAGTCATAATGATAGTCACAATAACAACAACATGAATAGTAGGGTTTAGGATTCAGTGTTACAGAGTGTATTCGGTTCAGGATTCCAATTTGGAGTTTGGGGTTGCGGGTTCAAGAAATCCAACGAACATGTAGGTCATTCGCGCTTCGTGTTTGGGGCACCGCAGGGCTCAGGATTGGGATGATATATAGCTTGCAGAATGGCAGGGTACGGGTTTAGGACTCAGGGTTTGACCTTCCACCCCCGGCTTCTACACCCCCAAAACCCAAGTTACGGGGGGTTCGGACCATGGGCTCTGACCTCAAAGCTACGGCTTGGGGGATGGAGGGTTCAAGGCTTCCTGACATCCTGACCCAGTCTGCGACCATTCTTGGGTTCAGGGCAGGGTTCGGGATTTCGGGTGTATCATGCTGTTTTGGGCAGGAAGGCGTTGGCATACGAGGGTTCCATCGATGGCGGACAAGAGGGTCACAAGATGTGGCTTTGGATTAATCAAGGGTTTCGCGTTCAGGGTTTGGAAGAGTTAGTGTGGGTTTGTGCAGCATGTGGTGCTTGAGTAGGCAATGCCTAGACCCTAGGTTCCAGCATTTTTCGGCTACTTTATGGCCTTCTCAAAAAGACATATCCGCTAAAGCCTAAACCCTACACCATCTGTTCTCCACATCCGAGGGTGCTACAGATCAGGATTTCCAACACTATTTAAAACATGTCCAGATTTGTTGGTTGAACAAAGGTTAACCTCTTGGACCATATATTGGGCGGTTGTCAAAATTAGGGTCCCTTTTTGGATCAAAGTTAAAGCAGACCGGGTCGCGAGGACGCCCCCCTTCGAAAGGCACAACAAAGGGCCCCAACAAAAACAACAAAGCAACATTTAGGATAGGGATATCCCATACAAACCCTCTTATGATGAAGCCCAACAAAGCTTAATAAAGTGAGATATCCCTATAACATGCTGATGCTGATTTAACTTTTGGTTTGGGTCCCTCACAACAAGGTTACAGATTATTTATGCTAGTACAAGAGCCAAGGTTGCACGGCACCGGACGGATCAAGCAGTCTGCCGTGAGATGAGGCTTTAGGGGTATCTGACATTGTTACTAACTTTAAAACACTTGAAATACTATAACGATGATTCAACAATCTCTAAACCCCCAAACCCCAAACTCTACTCTTTCAGGCATTCAACCTTTCAGCACGAGAGTCCCTCTTTGCCGCCCCATCTCGAAACGTGCCAGAAAAGCAACCCTTTTTGTTCCCTGTACAGGAACCCTTATAGTTCCCTTTGAAGGAACCCGGACCTCACAGGGGATCCTGCCAACAAAAACCGCCAAGCTAAACACAGGAGTTAGGATTAGGGTATACGGTATAGGGTTCAGGGTTTAGGGTGATATAGACCCTCTCAATAAGGTCCCTTTCCAGAGATTAAGGCTAAAGCTACCAAGCTACAGAAAGGCCGCCATCTCAAATATGCACCAGAGCCTGCGCACAGCAGACGAAATGTCGAAATGTTGATAGTTGATGCCAACCTGTGCATACGTAGAAGCAGTTGCACCGCAGACGAAAGTCGATGCGGTGCGCTTGTTCTCCCTCTCCTTCAATAACCGGGCCCAAAAAAGTTTAAACTTTCTAAGATAGACCAAATAGGCTATCTAAGTTCTTGTTGCGGTGGACAACAAACGAAATCATCTTGGGCTCTGGGAACTTGAAATGAGAAGCTAGCCATGGGGGGGGGAGGGAAGGGCGCAGATGTCTGGTCCGAGGCTGGCAAATGGGCGCAACGGCTTCAGGGTGTAAAGATTAAAACTTCGAAGGTTGAAGGTATACCTTAACCCCACGTAACCTACCTTTTTAAGGACTTATATAAAGAAATCATATTAGGGAACCCTAAAAAGGTAGGCTCCTTAGGGTCCAGGTAGGGATGTTTGCCTCTCGCAAGTCTTCTGCGGGCTTCGATTCAGGGACACTCGGGTTACGAGTTCGGGCTTCCTGGGGCTCAATGCCCCAAGATGTCTGCTACTGCTATGTCGCCCCACGATGCATGGTAGAAGCAAGTCTACTTCTCCATTCTGAGGTTGATAAGGTTTGGGGGCTTGTAGATGCAGATGTAAGCATCAGACCTGTAGAGGTAAGGTTGCTCCCAGATATCCCAAATATTCAGGTTTAGGCTTCATGGCATACATACATACTGTCAAGCGGTTCTGACTTTTCCCCATGCCCTGGCCCGTAAACCCTAAACCCTGAACCTATCAAAACCCTAAACTACCCCTAAACCCTAAACCTAGCAAGCCGAGAAGCCTTTTCTACGCAGGACCCTACTAAACCCCAAAACCTAATAAAACCCTAAAGCCCTAAACTCTGAACCTTAAAACCCCTGTACCCGAAAACCCAAAAAACCCTAAACCCAGGAGCCTTTCCACATAGGTCTGGTCCCAAAGCACCAAGAGGGAGCGAGACTTCCTCTCGCGTCGCTTGTGGTTTAGACTCCTTCCTTCTCAACGTGGCAACGTAGGAGTCCAAGGCATCGCAAATACACTAGTGTTTTGACTATATAAGTGTATACATATTATACATACATGTGTATATATATATATGTATGTATGTGTATATATATATATACATACATATGCATGCGTTTATCTAAAACTACAAAGATATGATAGAAGCTTTTACGTATTTCCATATGTGTACATGTGGAAGTGTGCTTATAAAGCGATGTATGCATGTACGTATGTATGCATGTATGTAAGTATCTCTGTATGTGTGTGTAGCTACTTAGCATGTAGGATCTATGGCAGTGTGGTTATGCATGCATGCATGAAGGCGCGCGTGAATGCATGCATGGATGGATGGCTCGGTTGATGGATGGACGGCTGTATGTATGTGTGTGTGTGTGTGTGTGTGTGTGTGTGTGTGTCTGTGTGTCTGTGCGTATGCAAGTGCATCTGCATGTGTGTATAGTTCTGTATGTATGCATTTCCGCTTGTGAGTACAGACACATGTACATCATGCATGCCTGAACTTCACTGCATAGCCAAGAGCATGTTAGCGCATGACATAATGACAGCTTCGGGCTTAAACCAAAACAATGCTGGTGAGGTCGAGGAACACGAGCATCGCACGTAGGAAATAAACAAGATTGTGAAAAGACGCTGATTCGCGCATTCACTGGCAGACCCCCCATGAAGACTTCTGCATGCAAGCGCACTTGCATGTCAATGTTTGTGCATGTTTGCATTTTTGCTTGTAACTATGTACAATTATACATAGGTATGTATGTATGCATGCATGCCTGCCTGCATTTATAGACTTCAAGCACATCTCGAAGTGACCCCGCACTTGGAACCCTGCCGAACATTGAACACATGCTACCGTGGCAGAGAGAGCCTGCAATGCCAAGTGACGTTCGATGACAGTCTCCCTACACTAACGTAGGAACCTGATTAAGAAACCCGGGGCCGATAACCTCAAAGTAGTAGGGCTCCTATAAGCCACGCTAATAAAAGCCCAAGGTTGCTTAAACAGGTTCCTACATTAGTGAGTCATATCCACTGAGACCGAACCTAGCATGAGCTTCTGAAGCTCCATCCACACACAACAAAAACGTGAAGCCTTAAAGCCCAAGGAAGACGAGAGACTTCATAATCGCTCCGATGTTCAGGATCCCCTCCATCTTCAGAGTTCCGTCATGTTGATGTATGCCTCAAGCATGTGCCAGGAGCGGGGTCTACGGTTTAGGGTTTAGCTGCTGGGATGCAGGATCACAACGCCGTAATTCTGAAATCTGCATGCTGGGACAAGATGCAGATCTGGTCCAAGAAAACAGCTTGTTGCGGTCGCCAGAGGAGTATAGTCAGAGTGCACAGCCCGATCCTGGTTTGGGGTTTGGGGCTTGGTAAGATGTTGAGGGTGCAGGGCAGCCAACAAGGATGACAATCCCAAAGGGTCCTAGGCATTGTTATGAGGGATACTTCCCCATTTCATCATAGTAATTTTTATTATAGAAACCCTACATTCTACTATATAGGTACTTTACACCCTTAGGGAATGTTTGGGTCCTGAACAGTTTAGCGTTTAGGGTTTAGTGCTCAACATTGGCGGATTGTTCAGGGCTGTTTGGGGTTCAAGCTCCCGCAACAGTTGTTGGAGTGTCGAAGAACAATCGGAGGGACTGCTGCTGATTCTTGCTCCTCAGGGTTCCTTGGTATAGTTTCTACGACAATCCACCCCCAATCCGTGCGTGCTTCAGCTCTTGAAGGCTGCTCGTGAATCTTAAGAGCAGCCGGAGTCTCCCCACCAAGAGAGAGTAGGGCGCAAACTCATAGGAGGAGCCATCACCCAGAAGTGGAGGCTTCCTGTAAAGCCCGGGAACGACGCCCGTCACCTGCAGGATCATCCTGAGTAACACGCAGTTTAGGGTTTAGGGTTTAGAGTTTACAGGGTTTGGGAATCAAAACTTCCAAACTAAGGATGCAACAATTGTGCCGGGACCAGCAACGTGCAAGACAAACAAAAACATTGCCCTGCAGGAGCCTAGCATCATCGCAAGCGCACCCAAAGTGCCCATCAAAATAGCCGCTGGCCCGTTCTTGAGCAGAAGGAGCAGGAGAATCTTTCGACGAGCTTCACCATGCCAACTGTGAGACCAGAATTCGTCAATCTCCGGCACCTGAACATCATTCAGACCCGGATGCGCAAATTACGTCTGTTTTCGCAGTAGTCGTAGCAGCAGTTAGTCGTCGTAGGTAGTCGTGGTCGTGGTAGCGGTAATCGTCGTAGGCGTACTCGTCGTCGTCGTCGTCGTCGTCGTAGTAGTAGTAGTAGTAGTAGTAGCAGTAGCAGTAGCCGTTGCAGTTGCAGTAGCAGTAGCAGTAGTAGTCGTCGTCGTGTTGTAGTAGTATAAACTCATCGACAACAGATTCACCGTTGCTCGAGATATTGTGGTCTCGGCACTCCGGGTGTGCTGCCAGGACTCGCCGAATGCTCAAGCGGCTGCACAGGTTCCAGCCGAAACAAGTACTTCATCTACGAACTGGAATCCGTGTAACACCTCAATGAACCCTTATTACAGCACCATTCCCAAAGCCTCCAAGTACCATTATAGTACGTACTTAGTAGGTGTCTGGGCCTCAAGAGTATATACTATACGATTACTTGCACCCTGTCGGATTAACCTTGTCAAACCCTGATCTAGACCCAAGAGTAACCTAGGAATAAAAAGGGTGCCCTTTTTGGTTTTAAGGGTCTTATAAGGCAACTGAACTCGAAAAAAAGGGAATAAGGGCCTACTCGAGGTCCTAGTGATAATAAAAAGGCCTCTCTTTTTGGTATTGGGTAACTTTATAAGGAACCTAGGACCTCAAAAAGGGAATAAGGGTACTACTGGGCATCCTAGCCCCTAATTTTCGGAAACCCTAAACCCTTTATAGAACCCTTATAGATCCCTTTAAGGAATCCTTATAGATCCCTTTAAAACGGGAATAAGGGTACTACTGGGCATCCTAGCCCCTAATTTTCGGAAACCCTAAACCCTTTATAGAACCCTTATAGATCCCTTTAAGGAACCCTTATAGATCCCTTTAAAAAGGGAATAAGGGTACTACTGGGCATCCTAAACCCTAAACCCTAAACCCTAAACCCTAAGCCCTAGACACACGGCCACACGAACCCTTGAGGAATCCCTCTGGTCCGATACCGCCTGAGCTACTATCGGAGCGTTAATCATTAGAATAAGGCAGCTGAGCCTCGTTGGGCCGGCTGACTCCGAGATTCAGAAGAGGGCTTAGGGTTTAGGTACCCAGACCTTCCAAAACCCCTTAATTAAGGAATAGACCTTAAATTATGAGGGGGTCCCTAATATGATTTAAGGTATATTCCTTAATTAAGGGATTTTGGAAGGTCTGGGTAAGGCTGCTTTGAAAGGGTTTCTTCAAAGGGATCTAGAAGGATAGCTATAAGAGCTATGGTGCGGATTTAGTTTAGGGGCATTAATTTCCTATAGTTAGAATAAGGAACCCCCCAAAAAATAGTAGAGGTAATTCTTAAGGCACCTATATTACATCCTTAGAATACCCCTTATAGATGCCTTTAGAGGAACCCTACTCTGATTATCACCATATTTAATTCTTCCGGGTCGCCTCGTAGCTCAAGTCATAATAGCATTTCGTGCTTGGCATCCCTTGCTCACGGAGGACCTGTCCGGCTTTTCGGAAGCTCTTCCCGGGCTTCACAAGACCTTTTGAAACCCTTTTGCATCCGGTCTGCAGGGCCTCTACTCTTTTGAAACCCTAAACCCCTAAACCTTCTATATAGGCTGGTACAGGAGCTGATGCATAAGGCCTTCTGATGTTTTTGCTGTAGGATTCCGGGTATAGTTAGGTCGAGGCTTTCACGGATTGGGGTACAAGCGCTTGGCGAAATCAAGTTTGGGTTTGGGCGCAACGAACTAGAAGATCTGCGAAGCTTGGGTGACATGTAGGCCGATCCGACGAGTCCGCATCCTGTCATCTGATGCGTCACCTATAGTCTCCATTGTAGTTCCGTTTTTGGGTTTAACCACTTATATATTAAGGATCCTGAAAAGTAACCCCAAAACGGAACTACAATGGAGACTATAGGCACTATCGAACCATAAGATTCAGGATTTCCGACGAAACCCAAAACATTGTAGCCTCAAGAATGCACCCCAAAGGTCCATGTGCCCATAGAGTATATAGCAGTATACAGTTAGGAATTGAGGGGGTTGCCTTCTGGGTACTTAAGGACCATAAGCGTGCACTAAGGAATTACGGAGGTATGGACTCTTAGACCCCAAAGCCCTTATGGCACCCCTCTAAACTAAAGCCCGTAGGTGCGAACGCATTGCCAAAAATCTGCAAAAAGGCCCAGGCCCTATACGGTTTTCGGCTCGAAGTCGTTACAAGCCCTACATGGGGCCTTAACAATATTGGAACAGGGTTTGGACCACAAGAAGGAACTACTATGGAGCCTCTAGGTATAATACACCACCAAGTTCTTAATAACTCCGGCCTGGTAGGGTTGAGGGTTTAGGGGTTTAGGCTATTTTGGGTTCAGGGGTCTAGGGTATTTAGGCTTTAAGGTTTAGGGGTTGAGGGTTCCCTAAACCCTAAACCCTAAGCCCACACTGCCTGCCCGCAGCCCTGCAGAGCACGGAAAGCCTTCGTCGCCCGGAGAATCTCCGGGCGCGAGACCTGAAACTATCATAGCAGTAGTAGTAGTAGTAGTAGTAGTAGTAGTAGTAGTAGTAGTAGTAGTAGTAGTAGTAGTAGCAGCAGGAATAGTAGGCGTAGTAGTAGTAGTAGTAGCAGTAGTAGTAGTAGTAGTAGTAGTAGGAGTAGTAGGAGTAGGAGTAGTAGTAGTAGTAGTAGTAGTAGTAGGAGTAGGAGTAGTAGTAGTAGTAGTAGTAGTAGTAGTAGTAGGAGTAGGAGTAGGAGTAGGAGTAGGAGTAGTAGTAGTAGTAGTAGTAGTAGTGGTAGTGGTACTGGTAGTAGTAGTAGTAGCAGTAGCAGTAGCAGTAGCAGTAGCGGTAGCGGTAGCGGTAGCGGTAGCACTAGCTGCAGCAGCAACAAAACGAATAGCAGTAGTCGTCCGGGAGTCGTCGCCGTGGCAGTCGTGGTAGCAGCAGCTGCAGTCGGTAAGAGCAGGAACAATGACAATAGCAGCAGTGGTGTCTAGGAATTTGTTACTGGTTCAGGGTTGGGACCAGGCAGTCTGAATTACGTCTTGCAAGACTCCTACAGTATGAAGAAGCGCATCGGTTTATAACCGTTCGCCAAAGATGAATAACCTCACATGCCTGCGAGGATAGCTGCTTCTGAGATAGAGCGGGCTGCAACCAGAGACCTTCAGAACTTCAACCTCGAATATTGTCGCTCGCCAGCCGAACCAGTTAGGATTTGCAGTTTGGGGAAGGTGCTTGTGGCAGAAGTTTCGAAGGTTGAGTGTCTATAGGTACAGGCTTTGCAGGGTGCTGAAGCTTCAGGTGACAAGCAGTCTTAGCTTCGCACGACTTCAACATCGTATTGCCGGGGTTTGGCAAACTGGATCAGATCTGTGCATCGATGTCAAGTTCCGTGCGGAAACCCTACATAATGGATCCGCCGGCTACAGGTTTAGAAAATCATGTTGGAGCCCGAGAAGTGGCTGAAAAAGCCTTCATACTCCTTTCAGCCCAAAACGCTAAAACCCTTTATGTAGAAGCCCAAAAGTTGGAAACCCCAGAGCCTCCATCCTTAAGAGTAATGTATAGGGAACCCCAGCACATTTTGGCCTTAATCCAGGTTCCAACTTTATGGGGTTTACTGTAGAAGGGGCCCCCACCCTGTAATAGTGGTATAATAGGAATATAATAGGGCCCTAATATAATCCTTATAGTCACTATTACAGGGTGGGGGCAGCTTCTAAGGTTTACTGTAAAGGAGGCCCTGGTCCAGGGCCTCAAGCCGAAAACTTAAAAAACAGCTCAAAGCCCCTGAAAACCCGACTTGAAACCCTGGTTAGGATTTGGGGTTTAGGGTTTAGGGCTTACCATAGCTTTAGGAGTTTAGGATTTGGGGTTTAGGGCTTACCATAGCTTTAGGAGTTTAGGATTTAGGGGTTTGGGGTTTAGGGCTGAGGGTTTAGATCCTATTGAAGTTAGGGCCTCTTCTATGTACCGGGTAAGCTGAAGAAGCTGGGGACGACATCGCATTGACGTTCAATTCCTAAAGCCCTAAACCCTGCCCCGAGCCACAAGCTTAGGGATTTTGGTTTAGGGTCTAGAGTTTAGGGTTTAGGGGGTCTAGGTTCGCTGAACTCACCGCAAAGGACCTCCATGGCAGAGATGACATGCACAATGTCCACAGGGGAGACGTTAACCATGGCTTCCAACTACAGTAACTTCCACGGCATGCAGAGCCTAACCCCTCTAAGAGCCCTGATCGGGTTTTGCAGGGTTCCAAAGGAAGGTCGGTCTTAGCTCGTTCCATGCTGCCTAAAGTCTCCATTGTAGTTCCTTTTGTTGGTTTAACCAATTATATATTCAGGATCCTATAAGGTAACCCAAAAAAGGAACTACAATGGAGACATATAGGTGGAGTTAATTCGGGCTGGTTCCTGCGGCTTCCGCCATTCAGGGTTCAGGGTATGTTTCTGATAGGGTTTAGGGTAAGCTCAAGGGCTTCAGGACTTGAGCATGCAAGGTTGGGGTGGGGTTCTTCAGGGTTAAAGGTTTGGGGTCAAAAACATGAGGATGTGGGCTCCTGACCCCAACCCAAAACCTGAACAGCCTGGGTAGGTTGCGGGCACTTCGACCATCTGTCTGTTGCTAATACATCACCACACAAGACGCCACATAGAATTCGGATTGGTATGGACCGGCTGGTATGGACCGGCTACAAACAATCAGCTTTTTTGTTGCAAATTGCAAAGACAACACCAGACGCGACGTGGAATTCGGATGGGCGTGGCCCCCTCTACCCAGGCCCGCGGGGACGATCCAAAAAGCAGATCCCTTGGGGGCACTCCTATAAAATACCCTTTAGAAGTATAGGGATCCAAAACGTAGATCCCTTAACAGACCCTTATAGATCCCTGTTTTAGAAGCCCCTTAAAGGATCCCTTAACGAGTCTTTAGTAGCACAGGGTCCCAAATTGGAGGGATCTACTTCTTAGATCCTCTCGGAGGTGTGGGACGAGCAGCAAGTTAGTTTAGGGTTTAGGGCCGTTTAGGGTTCAGGGTTTAAGGGGTTTAGGGTTAGGAGGATTTCAGGCATGCCCCACCTTTGTAACGCTCCTCGTCGCCTTAGATTAGAACGTTTACTCATACAAGTGCACGAATAATCAGGAAATGGCTTTGGGAATAGCGAGAACTACAAGGATAAACGGGACTATGAAGGGCTACCTTTAGTCTCCATTTTAGTTCCTCTTTTTGGTTTAACCAATTATATATTAAGGATCCTATAAGGTAACCCCCAAAAGGAACTACAATGGAGACTATAGGTAGTATTGCTTCTTCTTCCGGCCCCGGTCTTTAACTCAGCGGGCCGAACATCAACAAAGCGCAAAGCTTGCCGCCCCAAATCCCGCCGTGCTCCGTACGACATACGGAGGCCAATGATAGCAGGGGCTATATCAACTATGGTTGATGACATAAATCCTGCATTACCCATAATAAGGAATATACCATAATTTCCAGAGTGTAGGGTCCTTAAGGTAATGCAGGATAAATACCATCAACCGTAGTTATTAGAACACTTGTGGTACTATTCGACTTTACGGCATCACTTCATCCCCAGAACCCTTTGCATGCAAACCGACAGCTGGGCAAGACCCCAAGAACAAAAAAAACAACGAGCAACCCCCAACCCGGATGTTCATCAAAAGTGCACCGCACAGGCTCGCCAAGCCCCCAGAACCAGCAAGAATCCGACACAACCCCCAAAACCGACCACACAATCCTACGGCCCAATCTTTGTCTATCACCTCAAATCCTGCAAAACAGTAGGTTGCGATCCCACGACTATGCGGTATAGCCCTTAAAACTCCAAAATGTAGTCTATATTCGCACACCTTCAAGCCAGCGATGGCACCCAAGGTCCCAACAGTCCCGAAAGCTGGAACAGAGGGGACTCAATGCTTAGAAATAGAATGCTCAGTTCGGGTATGTTGTACTGGAACTATGATAAGGATGTAGATTTGGGATATGTTGTACTCTAAATATCACAAACAGCAACCCAAAACTCTAAACCCCAAAACCCTGAACCCCCAAACCCTGAACCACCCCAAAACCCTGAACCCCAAAACCCCAAACCCTGAACCCCAAAACCCCAAACCATGACGATAAGGAGCACTCAGAGAAGCAGTGCTGCCCTGCCTTGCATCATTGGTTCTCTTAGCCCACCAGTCGGTGGGGGCCGCCTGGTACTGGAAGGGCTTAGGGTTTAGGGCTTTAGGGTTTAGGGCTTTAGGGTTTAGGGTATAGGGTTTAGGGTATAGGGTTTAGGCTTTAGGGTTCAGCAGCTCCGGTCCGTGAAGTTTTACGCTACAGTTATATTTACAGTTTTGAGATAACACCCACCCACCCCTGAATCCCATAACATTGAGAAAATAAAACTTTTCAGTTTTTAAGCCAACTTGGACTCACATACTTCTATAACTATGTTGCCCCAAATCGAAAAGCCACTCCACAAATCCTCAAGTTAGCCCAAACGCCAGCCTAGAAGCCTTGACCCTAGGCCCTGAGCCTTTTAGCTCAAACCCTAGGCCCTAAACCCTAAACCTTAGAGCCCAAACCCTAGGTCTAAACCCTAAACCTTAGAGCCCAAACCCTAGGTCTAAACCCTAAAGCCCAAACCCTAAACCCTAAAGCCTAAACCCTAGGCCCTAAACCCTAAAGCCCAAACCCTAAACCCTAAAGCCTAAACCCTAGGCCCTAAACCCTAAAGCCCCTAAACCCTAAAGCCCTAGGCCCTAAAGCCCAAGCCGGGTTTTGTGGAGTGGATCTGAAAAACCTGTGTTCGTGGCCGGAACTCCCGGGCCACGAACAAGGGTTGTTTCGGGATTTCCGGCCACGAACAAGGGTTTTTGGAATGGATCCGGGAAACCCTTGTTCGTGGCCGGAAATCCCGGGCCACGAACAAGGGTTTTTTTCGGGATTTCCGGCCACGAACAAGGGTTTTTTGGAATGGTTCCGCAAAACCCTTGTTCGTGGCCGGAAATCCCGGGCCACGAATAATAAGGTTTTTTTTTTGTGATTTCCGGCCACGAACAAAGGTTTTTTGGAATGGTTCCGAAAAACCCTTGTTCGTGGCCGGAAAATCCCGGGCCACGAACAAGGGTATTTCGGGATTTTCGGCCACGAACAAGGGTTTTTTGCAAAAAAACCTTAGGGGCCACGAAGCCATTAAGGTTTAAATTCATAATGATAAAGAGGTTTAGGGTTTAGGGTTTAGGGCTTTAGGGTTTAGGGCTTTAGGGTTTACGCTCTCACAACTCGGACACAGCCAGGCGAGGTTCTTAGGTGCGAGGTCGGTGTGAAAAGTGGACTACGTTCGATTCTCACATGTCCCAAGGGTTTAGGGTTTTAGGGTTTAGGGTTTAGGGTTTAGGGTGTGACCATAAGGATTATATTAGGGTCCTATTCTATTCCTATGGTCCTTAATAGTGGGCATTTAGGGTATATTATATAAAGGGTAGATGGAATTTGTAAATTAGGGGTGAGGGTTTAGGGCGTAGAGGTTTGGGTTTATTAGGGGCTTAGAGTTTGGGTTGTGCGGCTGACGGCTTAGGGTTTAATGGGAAGGATGATTGGCACTTCTTGGCTACTCGTAGTTTCCAATACCTACCATCAACAGGTCAAACAAAAAACAGCACCAGAATAGAAACTAGAGGTAGGTTTTCGGAAGGGGCTGGTGCTTCTTCTGCCGCTAAGCAGGGAAATCAGCTACAGGGGCTACAGCCCAACCCACGTGCTAGGGGGCTGTTGCAAGCGACGGTCCGTGTCTACTCTCCCTTGGCACCCTGAGTAGGGACCTGGGGGATCTGATACGGAACACCATCCTGGACTTGCCGGTCGACACGGAGTCCTCACCATCCTACTCGCCACGGTATTGAGTTTAGGGGTTTTAGGGTCAATGCTAAGCCAACATACCACCCGAGAAACGTGTCCCACAGATCAGAGAGACTCAGCCCTACAACACTCAAAACCCAAACTCAAGTTGGACACACTCAGCCCGGATTGATCTCCCTCCATTGGCTGACATGTGATGTTCAACAATGCCCAGAAATTGACATCAGTGCAGCTCGTGGCCGAAATCAAACGAGAATGCCTCCAGCGGTGGAAGTTCCCAAACCTCGCGGCTGAAGAAGCCTGTCATGTATGTCAGGTCAAAGCACTGTGCGTTTGAAGCAATATCGGGCGCAAAGGTAGAGCAACTTTCTTCCAAAACAGGCGCCTTAACAACTAGACAGATCTTGTATATAAAGCATAAGCGACTAATAGCACTGTAGTAGGGAACCCAGACGAACGGTACTCCTGATGACTCAGGCTTCTCTATTACAGAGGGTTCGGTGTGCTTCTATGCAAGATTCGTCAAGTCTGCAGTTCGCGGGAGTCAGAATCCCATTTGCTTGGTCTTTACCACGGCTGCCGTTCGTTATACTGCCATCATAAACCCTAAAACTAAAACCATATATAGCCCTAAACCCTAAAACCCTAAACCCTAAACCCTAAAATCCCTAAACCCTAAACCGTTCTAGAGTCCACGAAGCCAGCAGAGCCGAGCATGATGCGAGTTTCATCGGAGCGGGGCGCAAGTCTCGCGAGCCCAGGCAATGGCAATCAATCCATAAGGGCTTCAGTTCCCCAAATAGTAGGTGCTTAGGTTTAGGGCTTATAGGTTTAGGGTTTAGGTCTTAGGGTTTCAGTTCCCAAAATGGGTGGTGCTTAGGTCTAGGGTTTAGGTTTTAGGTTAAACAGATTTAGGGTTGATAGTAGGAGCTTGGTAGGTTGATATCTATATATTACGTAACCCAGGGGCGCCCTTATTCAGGTAACTGGAGCCCCAGGAAATGGAGACTGATTTCAACAGCTCCAAACCTCAAGGACGAAATGATTTAAGGTTCATAACATACCATACAGGGCTTCATAGTATAGTACAATCCTAAACCCCGAGAGCCCAAGCATAGTGCCCCGACTTTGAAGTGTCATTCGGTCCTCCAGGAAAGTGCATCACGGCTTCGGGAGCCGAGGATCCTTCGAAAGGTTTCTCAGGCACACCATGTTGGAGTGCCGCAGCCCTGGATCCCACTGCAATAATAATAATAATAACAATAACAACAATAATAATAATAATAATAATAATAATAATAATAATAATGCA